AGTCATATAAAAAAAGTTTTTTAATGATGTAAACACACAGACGAATTGTTGGATGAAATATGACTGCAAATAACGAGATAATTACTGAGTGCACAGTGAGGAAAGAAAGTGAATAACTGTTTTATTATATGCAAAGCATATTTCTATATCAGGTGGGTGAGTTCAGCATTCACTGTAATACTGTAAACTATTTTGCAACAAATTAGTACTGCTTGCAGACAAGTTAGATCACTGAGACTGCATTTCTAGGTGCTTAGGGAATCATGGAAGAAACAATGGCGCCTGCGGTACGAGTGGCCGTCACATCACATGACCAAGGCTGTGCGAATGTGCCAGAAAGACGGGGTAGCCAAAGTGTTCTCAATGGTCCGGTTTTGAACTCCCCCCCCCCCCCCCCCCCCCCCGGCACTGATTGGCTGTTAAAATAGTTACCCCTCTATGAATTAGAATAACCAAAACTGGTTTTGGGTAGTTTTTTTCAGGTGTCCCCTGAGGAAGGCTGGTTACTAAGCAACTGGAAAATACTGCCCATATCGGCGCTAACAGACAGATCGATTTCCTAGGGTTTAAAACACAGTCCTTAGATTCTGTTAAGAAAACTAAATTACATACCAAAACTATTATATCCACAGTCGGCAGTGGGGAGTGCCAGTGGCCATCGCCAGTTTCATCATAGAAACCTTAATGGAAACACTGAGTAATAACACTGTAACACAGCATGCAAGTTCTCAAAAGTGATAGTGGGAAGCAGAGAACAGTAACACTGTAAGCAAGCTGGTTTGCAAGTTTTCAGAAGTTAATTTTGACAAAGGGAAGCAGAGAACAGTAACACTGTAAGCAAGCTGGTTTGCAAGTTTTCAGAAGTTAATATTGACAAAGGGAAGCAGAGAACAGTAACACTGTAAGCTGGTTTGCAAGTTTTCAGAAGTGATTAGTGAAAAAGGGAAGCAGAGAACAGTAACACTGTAAGCTGGTTTGCAAGTTTTCAGAAGTGATTAGTGAAAAAGGGAAGCAGAGAACAGTAACACTGTAGGCTGGTTTGCAAGTTTTCAGAAGTGATTAGTGAAAAAGGGAAGCAGAGAACAGTAACACTGTAGGCTGGTTTGCAAGTTTTCAGAAGTGATTAGTGAAAAAGGGAAGCAGAGAACAGTAACACTGTAAGCTGGTTTGCAAGTTTTCAGAAGTGATTAGTGAAAAAGGGAAGCAGAGAACAGTAACACTGTAAGCTGGTTTGCAAGTTTTCAGAAGTTAATATTGACAAAGGGAAGCAGAGAACAGTAACACTGTAAGCTGGTTTGCAAGTTTTCAGAAGTTAATATTGACAAAGGGAAGCAGCGAACAGTAACACTGTAGGCTGGTTTGCAAGTTTTCAGAAGTGATTAGTGAAAAAGGGAAGCAGAGAACAGTAACACTGTAGGCTGGTTTGCAAGTTTTCAGAAGTTAATATTGACAAAGGGAAGCAGCGAACAGTAACACTGTAGGCTGGTTTGCAAGTTTTCAGAAGTGATTAGTGAAAAAGGGAAGCAGAGAACAGTAACACTGTAGGCTGGTTTGCAAGTTTTCAGAAGTGATTAGTGAAAAAGGGAAGCAGAGAACAGTAACACTGTAGGCTGGTTTGCAAGTTTTCAGAAGTGATTAGTGAAAAAGGGAAGCAGAGAACAGTAACACTGTAGGCTGGTTTGCAAGTTTTCAGAAGTGATTAGTGAAAAAGGGAAGCAGAGAACAGTAACACTGTAAGCTGGTTTGCAAGTTTTCAGAAGTGATTAGTGAAAAAGGGAAGCAGAGAACAGTAACACTGTAAGCTGGTTTGCAAGTTTTCAGAAGTTAATATTGACAAAGGGAAGCAGAGAACAGTAACACTGTAAGCAAGCTGGTTTGCAAGTTTTCAGAAGTTAATATTGACAAAGGGAAGCAGAGAACAGTAACACTGTAAGCTGGTTTGCAAGTTTTCAGAAGTGATTAGTGAAAAAGGGAAGCAGAGAACAGTAACACTGTAAGCTGGTTTGCAAGTTTTCAGAAGTGATTAGTGAAAAAGGGAAGCAGAGAACAGTAACACTGTAGGCTGGTTTGCAAGTTTTCAGAAGTGATTAGTGAAAAAGGGAAGCAGAGAACAGTAACACTGTAGGCTGGTTTGCAAGTTTTCAGAAGTGATTAGTGAAAAAGGGAAGCAGAGAACAGTAACACTGTAGGCTGGTTTGCAAGTTTTCAGAAGTGATTAGTGAAAAAGGGAAGCAGAGAACAGTAACACTGTAGGCTGGTTTGCAAGTTTTCAGAAGTGATTAGTGAAAAAGGGAAGCAGAGAACAGTAACACTGTAGGCTGGTTTGCAAGTTTTCAGAAGTTAATATTGACAAAGGGAAGCAGAGAACAGTAACACTGTAGGCTGGTTTGCAAGTTTTCAGAAGTGATTAGTGAAAAAGGGAAGCAGAGAACAGTAACACTGTAGGCTGGTTTGCAAGTTTTCAGAAGTTAATATTGACAAAGGGAAGCAGAGAACAGTAACACTGTAGGCTGGTTTGCAAGTTTTCAGAAGTGATTAGTGAAAAAGGGAAGCAGAGAACAGTAACACTGTAGGCTGGTTTGCAAGTTTTCAGAAGTTAATATTGACAAAGGGAAGCAGAGAACAGTAACACTGTAGGCTGGTTTGCAAGTTTTCAGAAGTGATTAGTGAAAAAGGGAAGCAGAGAACAGTAACACTTGTGTAACTTGACATGCATGTTGTCAGAAGTGATTACTGTCATCTAGCACAAGGCTGGCTACATCATACCATAGAAAAACATCATTAGAATACATCCAGTCAAGAACAAGTCAAGACAGGCTTGGCAGAGGATGTGGAATGAGTTGGCTGAGTGTCTATACTTCATTGGGAGATAAATTCTCGAAAACTGGGGATGGTGGAGGGAACCATGAACACGGAGCTTCTAATTGTTCAACCTTATCTTATTTGGCTAGGAATCCAATTCACTAACTAAAGACCAAAGGGGAGTATCACAATGTTTGTTTGTATCTAGAAAACAAATACTACCACTGAAAGCATTTTACCATTTCATGGATAAGAAGCCATTACTTCTGGATCTAAACACAGATGCCACATCATACATTTACTGAGATCCTGTGCATAACATATAAACATTAGCCAGACTATCTCTCATAATTTGTTTATGGAATGACAACCACTTTAAGTGAAATGTGCTATACTAAGAATTTATAAATTTTTCAAATATTCTCCAAAACAAAGTATGTATAATAACATAAATATCACCACAAGACAACCAGGTAATATTTTCAGAGCTGAAATATCTAACAGAAAAGGCAATCAATATTAATATCATTCAAGCATAAGCAACTTCACTTTAATCAAGAAGCATGAAAAAGGCATGCTTTTTATTTTCTTGTACTGATAAATAACATGAAACACCAAAGGCTGTAAGATGAGAAGCCTAGAAATGCGAGGGAAAAAAACAAAAACATTCAACATTAGGCAAATATACAAATGTTGTTAACTAATAATAAATAAGTTCACCTGCATTATACAGAAATTGTATTTTAAACATACAAATATAAGTAAACATGGTAATGTTAATGTGATTAATTTTTTTCATGGAATTGTAATTGCATAAATGAAAAGATAAATCTATGATTATCTTACATAAAACTGTAAAATTATATAATCGTACTGCTTTCGACGACTGTCTTCAAGCAGCGATTGTCTTCAAGCAGCAAACCTCCTCATAATCAAGATGAAAATGCTAACAATGTATCTGGCGTAACACCCCAATGAAATATTTGTGACCGTAATCAAACATAACAGTAAGTACAGTGATAGCCAGCAAACAAAGGTGATCACTCTTAGCTTGTATGTGTACAAGTCATCTCCTTGTGGGATGCAATTTTAAGTTATTTTGAAACCTCACCCTGGCTTTTGCCAGGGGCCCTAAATATAGCCGGGATGGCCTAACTGCTGAACAGGGTTTCCGGGACCTCTCCACAGGTGATCCTTATCCGCACAGTGGCACCTTGTGTCACCGGGTGTTTATCGCTTGTAAGATGTTCTGGTGGGGTATAACCTACCTACCTATCTACGTGATCACTCAGTTCTTCCAGAATAATTTTAATAAACATGAGTAAAAACATTACCCAATCTCTGAACCTGTTAACCCCTGACTTTCAGATAGCTAATTCTAGGGTTCTTGAAAGAAAAACTTTAATCGTGTACCCATCTTGTACCTTTCACTTTCTCATCCTGGCCATATGTAACCCGTTCTAATAAATAATCTTTCTAAAGTCCCATAATATTGTGTCACTAGCTCATCTGGTTACTGCTGCCTGTTTGAACAGGTCAATTCTAATTTGACAATCAGCATGGTGTGTTTCAGTAATATTTCAAACCTGAATGAGCACAATCCTCTTCAGGTGAACATTTCCTCATTAGTATGTGTCCTTATGAATATAGTTTATTAGTTTGCTCCAAAGAGTTGGTGTTGGCTTCTGTAGTCAAGGACAACAGGAGGCTACTAATGTCATCTGTCACCCTTTGTAGAGAGCAAGCTGTCTCCAACATACCTAGCTATAATTAATAATTCACAAGCCAGATAATCTGACTGTTGTATTTTCCAGAGTCTGTCACCTTCACATTCATCATCTTAGCTGTCTGTGATCTCTTCAAGTGGATAATACTGATGCAAAAAGTCTTCATCATACTATTTTTCAGTCTGCAAGATTTCTTAAAAGTTTAAAAAAAAAAAATCTGTTCCACTTTCGACTTCATTGAGAAAATACTTTTAGTTTAACCTACTGCAAAAAATCTGGGAAAAAAATCAGCTAAGAGAGTCCTTGAATTCCTACAAAAAAGAAAAGAAAAAAGAGGGATTGCAAACTCAAAGTGTTTAAAAAATGTAGTGATTCTAATCTCATAATCTTTAATGCAACACTAATATTGAAACAGACAATACTGTAAAGCTTTTGTACTCTTTCATGACAGACACTGATTATGTCATTCTCTTAAACATCATTAGTTTCCCTGGATATCTGAATAAAGCTGATTGGCTCTGATGGCAACATTGATTCACTCTGTGCCTGTGCCTGGACAGGAACAGAGGCCACTACATTTTCAGAACAGTCACTGTCACCATTCATTTCCTGATAGCCATTAGGACTTCTCACTTCCACGAAGCGAAGAATACTGAAAGATATATACAAACATGTATGAGTTAAGTTAGAGATGGAAATGTCACATTAACTTATAGTTTACAACAACAAAAAATGAACCCAAACTTTGGAGGAAACACTAATAATTAGTCTACTTTTATGACATGCTTGTTAGGGATGCAGTGGCTCTATTCTTCTTTCTCCTCAAAATAGAGCCCCAGAACAAAGAAGGGGACAAATCATTGGGTAGGTTAAGAGACAGATGCAAAGAAAGGATTGATCCATCACAACAGGCATTATTTACAAAGATAACGGCTTGCCCATGACAACAGACAAAAATGAAGGGAAGCATTTTTGAAGAAATTTACAGAACAAACTGATCATAATGATAGGGAGATAATCTATCTTCTTCTTCTTCACTTCCTCTTTTACCGCTGTGGGTCTCGAGGGAGATATAAGGTTCTGTTTCTAGCTCTTCTGGCCACCTCGACCATAGGCACATCGTGCTGTTGTAGAGTTTCTCTGATGTTATCCTTCCATCTTGTTCTTGGTCTACCTCGTGCTCAACGTCCTTCTTCTCTTTCCATGTATGCTTTGTATGGTAGGGTGTCACAAGGCATTCTCTCTAAGTGGGCAAACCATTTCACTTGCTGTCTTCGTATGTAATTTAGAATTGGGTCTGTGCCGACTTTTTCTCTTATGATCTCATTCCTGATCTTATCTCTTATGGTCACTCCTACAGCCCTTCTCTATTGAATATCATAAATTATAATTACTATCAGGATATCATTTGGTGGAGGATATAAAATATATGTTGCAAAAAATTTAAAAAAAACACCACACTGGGGTCAGATAGAGTCATGTATGCCCACAGGAGTGATGAAGACTTAAGGAAGATGGCTCTTCACTTCAACCAGAGCATCAGAACAGCGTCAGTAGCCCATGGTCGGGTCACAGTTATTTAATACCATTTCCGGGTGGGCACTGACCGCACCAAAATGGTGACCAATCTCTTCTTGACCTTGAGTATATGTAGCAAAATAACAAAACATCATTGCCTTTCACTGGAAATTTGGTGTATGTACAAATATGGATGTGTTGGTGTTGCTTGTGGTGCTGACGGACATTGTAGGTAAGTGTACAGGTGTACACACATGTCAGAGTGAACAGTTCAGTCCCGCCTAGTTTACCATACAGTAAGCGACACTGCTCTAGAAGTGGCAATGAAGATGCAAGTATGGCTGTCACCAAAAACATAGGTTACGATGAAGCGGATCAAATCATTTCTTTTTATCTGGCTTGAAGCAATTCGCAGACATCACGACCCTTGACATTCTTTGGGATCTGTCGGGCTATACAGATAAAGCGATACTGTAAAAATGGGGGGGGGGGGGGATTTCGGCTAGTCATCTCTGCTCAATCTACATCAGCAAAGGTTGTGATGTGGCTCTGATGGAAAATGCATTGCAAGATACTAAACACAGAGAAGTGGTCAGAGGTGTTACTGTCAGATTCATGGAAGATAAAGCAGTGGATAGCAACAGAGATAATGATTTTCTCACTGGCTTGAGTTGTAGCCATACTAGCAATGGACTCACAATGATTGAATTCCTCCCTACACGGCTTGTGATATTGTCAAAGCAGTGAAGTGTCAGTAGATATTTAATTTACAATACAGCGGTCTCTACAAGGCATCATATTTTAATATCCAAATTGCAAGTTTCATAGTACTGATATGAGACAGAAGACAGCCCTACACAACTCAAAGACAATTACACAGTCACTCAAATTATATGAATATACGGAAGACAGCAGTATCAATCAATAACTTGAAATGACACTGACACTGTGAGAAGTTAAAATTTAAGGAGACTGTAATGCTTGACACTAAAAACTTGAGTGTCATTTTGAAGGACATTGTCCAAACAGTTTTGTGACCACTGATGGGTGTCTCTTCCTGCTACATTCCATGATCACAATTTTTTCAAAAATTTTTGAATTTGTTCAGTCACTTCCTATTATTTAGTTGAGAGCCAAAGAGACAGAACAGGGATCAGCCGGCCTCAAAGACCTGGCAATGCCATACTCAGACAAGAATGCCTGGCAATGCCATGCTCAGACAAGAATGTGAACCTGTTTTAACAAGTGCAAGTTGTTCACAGACAGCACGACCCTTGACATTCTTTGGTATCTGTTGGGGTATACTGACATAGCGACCCTGGGGCAAGTTCTGCTGGTAATTTCTGCTCAGTCTACATCAGCGGAGGTCGTAATGTCGCTAGAAAATGCAACGCAAGATGCTACACACAGAGAAGTGGAATGAGGTGTTTCATGGAAGATAAAGCAGTGGGTGGCAACAGCTTGCGCTGCAGCCATACTAACAACAAACAGTGGGTCGAGGATCATGGAGACTCATGGCTGTAGTGGCTAAGACTCTCTGGCAGTGGAGCACACTAGCCGTTCCCCCTTGTGAGTCTCTGGTTCTACCCTTACAGAAAAGGGCGCACTCATATGGTAAGTCCTCAGACCTGGAAAACCTTTCTGCAGTAACGACCGTTGTGCATGACCAAAAAAAAGGTACATCCTTCAAAAGGTGACCCCGTTAACCAAGACCTTGCAGTCCTGAGACAAAACACAACGGACCTAGAGGAGACAACCTCGGTTAAAAACCCTAAGCCTAAAGTGGATTTACCTGCTGCGAGGATGAATGGCCATGGAATTGTCAGTCGTGAATGTGGACGTCTGGTCAGCGGGAAGGGCTGAATTCTTGACTCAACTCAACAACTTAATAACAATTCCATAATCAGACAAAGATCATTCAGGGTTCAACAGTTTCTGGATTTTCACTATAAAAAACTGTTGGCAAGGTTCTAGAGAAGATTGTTGCTTTTCAATGCAGGCTATTTTTAGAAATGAAAGAGCGCCTGACAAGAGGTCTAGGTAGTTACTGGCCAGGGAAAGATATGTGATCAAATACAGCCAATTTTACTGTTAATTATTATGAGGGGTTCTAGAAGAAACTGGAGACGGTTGTGGTGGTACCTTATCTTGTAAATCATGGAGAAGGCAGCCTGTCCCTGGCTAGTGAACTGAATGTGAACTTCCGGCATTTACAAATGATGCCCCCCCCCCCCCCCCCACCGTCTCCTCCTTCACGTGGGTATATAGAACTCATTCCATTAGCACCTTTCCATCTTTCCAGACGACAGTGTTATATTGCGCTATGAGGAGGCATGAGACTCACAGCTCATGGTGATGGCGAGTATGACTAGCAAGACCCGCCCTTGTCAAGAAAAGTCTTCCACAATGATAGCATTGGATTTCAGGACCATTGTTAACAACATTTGTGTTTAATCAATTTCTTTTCAGACACTCAGCTCTCATCCTTTCTGCAATCATTTCTTCCTTAATGCCAAGTATTTTTCTTAGGCATCGCATGTGAAAGCTATTAAGCTGTCTCTCTTGGTGCAAGTAGGTTGACCAAGTTTCACTGCCATGAAACATAGTACTGAGAACACAAGCCCCATAGACAAGGCTGCCCAGCTTAAGGCGGGCGGTAGTTGATCAGTGACATTCGAAGATGTCTCCCACCGTCAGAGGCAACCCGTGGCACCCCTGTCTACACCAACTGACAAGGACTTATAACCTGTAACTGCTGCCTCTCTATTTGTTTAAACTCGAGACCGATTAAAGCCAGGGATGAAGTTCCTCCTCTTCATAGCACAAAGCCTGGGCAGTATTGTAGAGACCATATGTTGCCCATGCATAATGATCCCTCCCTCGACCTGCCTTGTTTACTTCAAAGGAAAAGTTAAACCAGTACGTTTGGAACGAGGCAGGTTGCAGAAGCTGCCGGATCAGAAGAACAGTGCTCTATCTGTCCACCTGTCAGAGCTTCCCTCCTAGACCAGCTGCCAACCAAGGTGAAGGGCTTGGTCTGCCCTGCCATAACACAAAGTTTTCAGAATGCATTTCCTCTTCCTAGGATAAGGCTAGTATCCTCCCCAATGCGCTCCTCCGCCCGAAGCCGTTGGCACAATATGGGATGTTGGGTTTGTATACTCAGCCCAACATTCGGCGAAAAAGAAGACAGGTGGTACCGGGTACTGTTATATGGTAGCTCAGTCATATCTGACCAAGACCTGACACACAAGAACCCCAGAACCATGCAATATTACCCCTGCGATTACTCCAGAGTTCTGCAATTTCAGCAATGCTATCCAACGTGTAAACAAGAAAGACAGCATGACTTTGAAGCACCAGGGTTACAAGGATATTTGTAGAAGATGTTGTAGGCAGGAAAGCAATATCTGACTTTATCAGGCTTTGCCCACTGGGTTAGCCTTCCCACTGATTTTATGAAACATGACACAGCCTCATTTGTGTGGCATCCTCTTTGTCCCTTTATTTATAGGTGTTGCCCCTGGAGAATGCTGGAGACCTCTGTGTAGTCTGGTGGGCCCTCAAGGGAAAGCTGGAGCAGATCATGGGTATTCCCCACCATCCAAGGAGGCTTTCATAAATGCAGAGCCACATATGATTCTCTTGTACTGAGCTTACCCAAGTAATTATCACGTTCTGCACATGATTGCTTAACCTCATATCTGTGTGTAGAGCTTCCCACTTATCACGGGCAGCACCCTTTGAAGATCCACAAAGGCCCAGGACTTCCATGACCACACAAATGGACACAATCTCAATCAGCACATTAGACATCTTTAACATTGTTGCTCTGGGAGAAACAGCACAACAGTATCAGAAAAGCATGGCTGCCAGGTTTGGTCCTGACATTCGGATGAGTTGGGCTAATGGTAGGGTACATTCGAACCTTGTCTACAGGAGCAGCCTGCAGGTCCGGGACTTTTTCGCAATCTCCTTCATCATGTTAGACATCTTTAATGTTGACGCAAATGAGACATCAAGAATGACAGTTTCTCACAGCCACAAAAACAAGCATGTACCAGTCATGGCTTCTCACTTTGGTTGCGACACTTTGATGAAGGGGTAATGGTTAGCAGGCATTTGCACCTTTCTATCACACAGCGGGACGTTTGTTGGTTGGAGTTCTGTACCTTGCCTCTCAGTCAGGAAGACAACTGCTGGCTGAACATCTAAATTTTTGCTGTTATCCCATGAGATATGACCATAGGTATTGTTGCTCATCTAAGGTGCGAACAAATCTCTTTGTCACAGTTCACAGGGAAGTGGTTGCTCAGCTGACTACAACACCCCAACACGTGACTGACAGACTCCAAGCTCCAAGCTTAATCAGCAGGACTTCGAAATATGTTTTAACCAAGGTATTTAGTAGGATATTCATCCAGCAGGCTTTACTCATGTTCCAAATGAGATTCTGACAGATGCTATCACCCATGCATTGGAGGTGGGATGAAGAGAGCCAGATGATTTTTGGGCACCTCATCTATATATCTTGGTTATATCAGTTCTGCAATGTTCACTGCCCTCCAGAGCTTGTAGAGCAGACATTGAATCAGTGAAGATGACAATATTTTGGGCCTTCGAGGGATAAACATCCATAACTGCCTTTAGATGGTATACAGCTGTTTCCAGAGCAATAATTTCAGCTTCATAATTCATCAAAAACTTCTTCAACAGATCCATCAGGATGAAAGTAAGCTCCCATAAAAATGTACTGATTGGTACTGGGATCACACATGTCTATGATCTCTTGGTTAGCGAGTTAAAAAAATACCTAGTCATTTTGGATAGGTAATCTGGTAATCTGGTAATTTTAATTTCAGCTTCATAGCAAACGGGTCACCCCATCCTGTGCCAACAAAAAACACACAGAATGTTTATCACAGTCCCTTGTGGAAAGACAAACTACTGTGTCAGCAAATCTAGCATACACTCGCATTAAAAGCATATGGTAGCCATCCGAAGTGCTAACACAAACAGTCCTACGTTAGAAATGCAGTTCATCATTGATGGTAGCAGAAGTCACCAAAAGATCAGCAGTTGCACACGCGATCAATTTTAATCAAATAATGGCCCCACCAATATTGCGACAACCGGCATCGCGCCATTTTCTGAATATACAAATCACACCACCATGTTGGTCAGTAGAAAAACATTCCAAATGAAATCTGCAGCTCACAGTGTCACGCCATGCACTCAACTCAGAAGCTGGGTAACGAAACTATATACTTCTAGTCTACAAATTGAGCAAAAAAGCAACGGCCACAGTCTGGCAGAAGCAAAACAGTGGCGGTGCCTAGTGTTCATTTGGACCTAAAGCATTATGTGAGGGTTAATAAACTGTCACCCCAGCAGTACCCTATTATTAGCTGGGGAAGGGATTTAGGACATTACATCCACCAGCAAGCGTCGCCCAAACAATGACCTGACTGCCTTCGTTTGGATAGGTAAATACGGTGTGCTCTGTGGATGCATTGTGCATGTTAATAACGCTTTAACAGTTAGAACCAAAACAGAGTTGTAATAAGGCTTATGAAAAATGAGGGAAAGAAACATAAACTGATATATCTAGCTCATTAAATTTGCCTGAATATGTTTAGTGGGGGTGAATCCATCACAAATAATAACTGTAACATTATACTAGGTGCATACATGCCAGTAAAAAAAAAAAATGTTTCAGAGAGAGCGAAAATGAAGAAGTAAAAATAAAGATGAATAAGACAAAGAATAAGATGTAGCAGAAAGAGCAGCAGTGAAGACAAAGATTTTTGTTTTGTTTTATACTTACAGTAAAAAGATTACCGGTACAGCTAAAAACAGCATGGACACAATGAAAACAAATCCACTGTAAAATGACATTGTTGACGCATAGATCATTGAGAACATGAATGGAGCCAGGAAATAAGTAATACTTTCTCCACAGTGCATCATTGCAAACACAGTTCCTGAAATAAAACAACAAATTGAACTAACTATGCAGTCTAATATCTCAATAAAAACATTTAAAATCTGCATATTACCTAGACATTTTTTATCATTTTATTTTAAAATGTTATCATTCTTTTATATATATATATATATATATATATATATATATATATATATATATATATATATATATATATATATATATATATATATATATATATATATATATTTAGGTGTGTGTGTGTGTATGCGCGCGCGCGCGCACACGCACACACAAAGTAAAATTATATTTGTTCACACTACTACTTACTGTCTGATAACACTAAATATGCTTGAATGTCTCAAGACCATAATCAATTAGAATTTACACAGAAAATGAAATGGATTAGTAAAATGTTGGGGGAAAAGGGGGGGGGGGAGGGGGTGGCAAAGAGTATGTAAAATTCAGGTACATTTACAATTATGTTATCAACTGCTGAAAATTTAAGAAAGGAGAGAACTGTTTCTCATAACTTACTGAAAGTATAAAATTCTTCTTCTTTTTTGTACATGGGGGAGAGAAGAGAGGGGTGTTTTATTATACATAATTTTCAGCTTAACAAGGGGTTTTGAGAAAGGAGGAATACTGCATTTTGTATGTATTCTCTCATTACTTGAAACAATATATATGTATTAGCCACAGAAAAGCACAGTGACAATGAAAATAAATTATAAATTCTCCAGAAGCTATTTTCTGTGGGTTCCTATAATAAAATTGACTTTAAATATAAGTGCTTACTTGACGAGGCTAACAGTTACTATTGTACACACCACATTTTCCCCTTTAAAATTTCAGGAAAATATAATCACAACCTTACTTATCCCCTGCACCTTCACGAATACAGATGGAGGATCAGTAACACATCGAGATAAATACAAAGACAATTTTTAGCATGCTGCGGTTGGCATTTTATGCAGTATGAGTAACTTTGAGTATGAAACAAGGAAAAAACTCTTTTCGACAGTGGCGAGGAAAGACAATTTAAATTTTAACTTTTAAGTAACTTCATGTCTTCTTTAATAATGTCACAATTTATAGCCGACTTTTCTTGATTTTCGCCGCCGCACCCTGGCATACGCACCCAGTTTGAGAACCTCTACTGTAATGCCTCGGTTGAGTCAGCAGGCAGACTTTGCCAGCTGCTGTACCATGCAACCGGGTCACAGTTTTCCCCGCTATGACAGACTTAGGCAACAGCAACTATTGTATTAATAAGAGTTATTTCAGTCCAACGCAGCATATGCAAAACGGGTGTTAGGTAACCACTATTCGGTATAATGAGAGAGTTATTTCAGTCCATCGCAGTATATGCAAAACTGGTGTAAGGTAACCGCTATTCGTATTCTGCCCGAAATGTAAAGATATGAGAATGAAAGATTACTGATTAGTGAGGAGTATCATCATAGCATTCCAGAAAGACCCACAGGTTCTCAGATCTTTTCCTCGATAGCTCCACAAACGCAAAAACCACTAATGATGCCTGTTCTGTGGTGATTAATTAAACAACTCTTGCCCTTGGTGAAATATTATTGTCTGGCTGCTCAAGGCTGCACTTCCATAACCACCACCCTCGACACAATCTTCTTTGCAATATGCATCTCACTTTACATTTATGACATCACTACTGCTCATGTTAGGGAAGTCACAGTAACTGCCTTGCCTGCAAGATTAATCTCTGCTCCTAGTAGCAGCAGTGGTAGTAGTAACTGACTAGTAGTAGTTATAGTTGTTATGGTTGGCCGAGTGGTTGCAACGTCGGGCTGTCATGTGGGAGCAACCCCAGGTAAGGTGATGGCATTTTTCTGTTTGGGGCAAATGCATCCTAACCTGAGCAGTCCATGGCAATAGCACTAGCTATGTGGTCCTAAATCCTCAGGCTCCTGACCCCTTGTCTACACGGACCTGAAAAGGTTGTAAAACAGCAGTAGTGACAGATTTTTAGTTTTTGTGGTGCTGGTGGTGATAACAGTACTGGTACTCGATGGGTGATGTGGTAAATATTTCACTGGCCACATTCACTTCTCATTAAAATTCCTGCTACCCATTTTAGTCTGGGTGGACATGGATGTCAAAGTCAATTTTTAAAAATTTATCATCTGGTGATTATTTCAAATCCTTCGGAGAAGGAGAGAGAAGTAGTCTGCAGATTGGGGCAGGGCGAGGGGGTACAACGTTGCTGGGGAAGGGGGGGGGGGTGTTGCTGAGAGAAAGTGTTAACCAAGAGAGACTGAAACATGATTTTGAATTTTTAATTTTTTTTTTATATTTATATTTTAAAAACGCTAAACTGGCTATTATTGTCACATATCACTCCCTAATGTAAGGATTTCTCCTTCAGAACCAACAGCACTCAGAAATAATTATGTTGAGTCGTTTGGCTCGTATTGGTCTAAGGGATTCCCCGTGGCCAATATACGCTCAACTTATTTCTGGAGTAGGGCAACTCAAGTATTGGCGCTACAAAATATGTCAGTATATGAATACAATATTTCTAGGCACACTTGGCTGGACACCCCCACTACTTACTAAAGAAAGCCCCCAGGTTATGATAGTTCATTATCATAACCATGTTAACACATATAATGAAGATACATACACACACAACTTCTAAACACTTAAAAAGGTGAAATAGAGACACCTAAGTCAGCCATGAAAATGAATGCATGTAATCAATATAAAATAGATATATAATAGTGAAACAAATTCCAGCTATCAGTGGAAGAATCTCAGAAAATAATGTCTAGATACCAAAGATACTACACAGACAGCAGGTCCTGGAGATGACATCTTGTCATCATTGGGAAACATAGGAGCTGTGAGGAATAAAGCACATAAGGCATCAAACTGCACTTAGCCTCTTTCTGTCTATGATGCCTCCCTCAGCTCCTGATGATTCGACTGTCTTTGACTCTGGTAATTCTGCTCAACTGGATCAGGTAGTGAAAGAGTACTTCACCATAGAGGACACCGCAACTGTACCGGTATTCAGCAAGTCTCTCCCACCAGTTAGGTCACAACAGGGACTCTGAGCTACACCAAGCTCTGGCACTGGTAGGCTGTTTGAGTTATCTGTCCCCACATAGTGGTAATGTCAGAAACTTTCACAGGTGTTAGCTGCTGGGTAGTTGGTTGATAGTTGGTTGATGGTTGGTGGGTGTTGGTTGGACTGTGAAACTTCTGCCAGCTCCTCACAAAGGATTCATCCTGCCAAGAAATAACTCAGAATTAGTCATCACCAAGAGGGTAACATCTTGACAGGAGAGACAGAAAAAGCATCAGTCATCATCCCCCATCTGCCTACTCCACCTTGCTCTCCTGTTTCATTCCTCAGAATGCCTCTCTAGACCAGGAGACACAAGTCCCCTATATTCATCTGTCTGTTTAGTGCAAGAGAAGGAAAGTCAGATATACAGTGGAGAGAGATAGAGTGTTCTAACACATATATCACTCTCTCTCCCCCCTTCCCTCTACACACAGACATCAATATTTACTGTCAGTACCTTTATTTCTTAGCCTCCCAAAAGCCAGTCCTACCAGTCATTGATCTGGGTCAACACACTCACACACTAGCCGACAAAGTCCTGACCTAATTCTGTCCCCATTTTGTATGCACAAACTTCTATTGCCAGTTTAAATAGTACACACTTGTAAGGGTATTAGGTTTACCAGTATGGGTGGGTTATTTAGGGCATAGGCTATCTAGTCTGTACAGGGGAAGGTCTACGTTCGAATCCGCTTCTCTAGCGATCAAGAACGGTTGAACGATGTGTGATCCCACAGCCGATACTGATCTCTCTACAGCAGTGACTACTTTAACAGCCATTGTTTTAGGTACTCGTAAACTATAATTAACTTACCCAAGCATATGAAAAGTCCGAGACATTCCAGATTGCCTTATGAAAGTGAAATTATACAGGCATAGATTGACACGTCTGGACGCTTGAAGCCGGCAAGAGAGAATGGCGCAAATTAAGCACTTCAAGCGTTGGTAAAAAAGGAGTTCCCAGTATACATGGGCAAGAAGTAAATCGGTTTCCACGAAACCTAAAATAACTTCTAATATTTATCCAATGGATATACATTTAAAAATGGAGTTAAATCAAAGCAACCAGAAAATGTAGACATAATAATGTTGTCTAATAAAGGCATATTATATAGATATAAGGGACTATATCTTTCCGGACGAGTCCAAGTTTGAATTTTGTGCCGATTACAGGTAAGTCAAGTTACCAGCCTTACGGACTGATGTGTAATGGCTTATCATTCCACGACAATTATCTTTTTTTTTCTTTTTGCAAATTTGTTGGTTTTTAATTAAAAAATACAAAAAGTTTTGGCATGCGATAAACTAATAACCATTTTCTTTAGAGTCTTAACAATACAATTTAAACACCCACTAATATAAAGACACAATTATATGTTGTGTGTTCTAGAGTTGGCAAACCAACCAGACTATCTCTAAATCTGCACAGAGATTGTTAGGGAAATTAACAATATTAGACATGTACGCTTTCTATTTTCTTTCTTTTCCATTTAGCCAGACTGAGCCACAGCATGTGGCGGGTACAGCTAGTTTATATTTAAATATGTATATGTGTATATATATATATATAATATATATATATACACACATATACATATATATGTATGTAAATAAACATATATATATATGTTTATATATATATATATATATATTAGGGCTGTACCGAATAGTGATTTTCACTATTCGGCCGAATACGAACAGATGGACCAACTATTCGGCCGAATACGAATAGTGAATCATTATCACCAAGTGCTTTGCCGACTGGCATGGGCAATTATGCCTTGCCACAGTCTGCGATCTCCTGCAGAATATATTAGTTCTGATGTCTGTGAGTTGTCTTCAGGATCCCGCCTCTATCAAAACCTCTTGGTTGCTTTTTTTTTTTTTTTTTTTTGCTGTCCAAGGTATTTTAAGCATTGTTCTGTAAAACCACATCTCTGAGGCCTCAAGAGATTGTTTGGCCTGGCTCCCGATTGTCCAGGACTTACAGCCATATGTTAAAACTGGATGCATGTAGCAAGCAAGAATTCTTTTTCTAACCTTTTTCTAACAAAGATATATTGCATAAGATGTTTTTCAATTTATAAAATGCAGTTTTTGCCTGTCCTTTTCTGTTTCTTATTTCAGTAATGCATCTTCCATCTAATGTTATCCATGTGCCCAGATACTTAAATTTCTGTACTTGTCCCAAAATAAAACCATTGATTTTATTTCACATCTAGGAATAACTATTTTCTATGATACCACCATTACTTCTGTCTTCCAATATTTAAACTGAGGCCCATTCTTCCATTTTCGTGTATAAAATAGATCTATAAAAAAAACATCCATAATGTCAAAAGTACGCTGAAATTTTACTTAATAAAATGTAGTACAGAATAGTAAACATTTAAAAACATTTTATGTTTTGCATCCTTCAGTCAGTCAGTCTGTGGTAACTAATACTCAGGAATGAAAGTATTCTTAGTTTTATAACAAATAACTTAACTTGAAAATGGTCACTGACAGCTTAGATAATCCATAAAAGCGACATAAGCTTTCAAAAAAAAAAAAAAAAAAAAATTTGTTTTATGTTGTTAGCATTAATGCAGCTTCTTGTCTCACTGAAGGTGTTCTCAGTTGTACTAAACAGAGGTTCACTTGGTACGCTCGTAGGTGGTGCACAAAGATAACGCTTGACAGTATGAAGCAAGGTGGGAAATCTAGATGTCTATTTTCCACCAGTCCAGAAACGGGTCTACGGTAACCACTATTCGTATTTGGCCTGACCGCAACTATTCGGCCGAACACCGAATAGTTATTAGGTCCACTATTCGGCCCCGAAGCGAATACGAAGCGAATATTTGGTACAGCCCTAATATATATATATATATATATATATTTTTTTTTTTTAATTTTTAAAAATTATTTCTAGCTTCTTAAATGCTAAGATGAAGATGTGCAGTGCACCTGTACTAAATGTATTCCTAAAGTATGATAACTCAAATGGGAAGTACAGAAGAGCATTAAAGAGATCATAAACATTATCTCTGCATCTTCTGTAAGTCCTACCATTACAAAAGTTAACCGAAGGTCTGGCAATAAAACTTGCAGCAACTAAATGTAGTAACAATGAGAACACCATAACAGAAACAGCATGTCTTACCTTGTTCTGAAGAATTTACATTTCTGGCCACTTTGGCACGCAGAATTGGAAAAGGAAACAGCTCAAATGCAAGAAGCAGAATAGCTGGGGAGAGACAAAAGATATACTGAAACATTATAAAAGTTATGTCATTAAATAAATGAAAAACAAAAGCAAATAAAAAAAAGAAAGATTTAATATTAATACTGTTCTAAATATTTTTTGTTTACATTGTTTGTTGCTAGATTCCATGTATCTCCATTTAACTGTGCTTCTTAACTTTCAAGATGCTAACAGAAATCTCTCGACTGCTTGAGCAGTTCATTATTCAGGAACCAAAGATTTTGAAATGCTTCAAATGTCATAAACAGAAGTGTATCTATCAAAAGCAGACTACTCCAGTGATCAAAGATTAATTATACACAAAATATTCATAAATATAAAGAAAAACAAAAAATATTAATCAAGAAACAAATCAGACATGAGTACCCTAAAGAATGAGAAGGAAAATCTTTACACAGAAATAAAGAAAAGATTATATTTCAAGATGTTAAAAACTAATAAGACATACTAAAAACATTTCATCAGATAGTCTGCTAAAGATGGACAGACAGAAAAAAAATAAAAGACAAGACATATCTTAAAATTACTGGAAGAAGAAACAAAAAATTACCATGAGAAATATGAATGGATAAATAATAAGTTTTTAAAATTATGTGAAGAGGTAAAAAAGAAGCATGGCTTTTGGAAATCAGTACAAAAGTCATTATTCCATCAGAGTGAATGAATTAAGGAACAAAAGATCAACTACATTAACTGACTGCCTGAAAATCAGTTGTCTAGTCAACTGTATCATAAATATGTATAATGATGAACAATATTGAAACAATGTTTCTGATACATAAGAAATCGAATCACTTAGAGTTGTAATTCATAAGACGTCAACTGCCTATCATTAAGGAAAGAAAACTTGTGCTAATACCACTGAGATGGACTGAACAAGTCCCAGATCAAAACAATGAAAAAACTAACCTCCTGATTTAATCAGTTAACATACTCTATAACTATTCAGCATACAAGTTTTATTGTTGCATAACACTTTTTTTTTTTTTTTAAAGTATCTTTCTTACAAAGAAAATTTATGAAATTATACAAATTAATTACCAAAATAGAGCACTGTCTCATTCCTGACAACAGCAATCCATAATGTTCCTAGAGCCTTTGATGCAAAACCCAGAAAGATAATGTTGGTGTCAGAAATAAATTTCTGAAAGATTGGAATACACACTCCAGTTGCCAGTGCAGCAACTGCCATGATAACAGCCAAAAACAGTCCAATTTTCGCCCACGGCCCATCTCCTGTAACTGAGTTATCATATGCAAACAGGAATTTCTGTTGACTCAAATACAGAACAAGTGTATTGATTTGTCCTATGTGAACAAATGCGTAGGCCTGAAACACTATAATGGCCAACCATATCTTTGCTAGAGAAGAACTTGCAGAACATCTTATATACTTCATCAGAGGTCCAAATGTATCAGCACAACAGTTTCCTTCACCCTGCCGTCGAACAATTGGGCTCAATCTTTGATGATTTTGATCTGGTTTAGTCTCTTGCACCAAAAATAAGGAAATCAATAGTGAAATAAGTCCACATATTAATGTGAACCAAAAGGGCTTAAGAAATTCAGCGTCTTTCACCCAAAACCCAACCATAATATTGCCAGTTGCATATGCTCCTCCATTTAAAAACTCCTGAACTGCAAGACGGTTTAATCTTTGCTCAGGTTTAACATAATTGGTAGCATAATATGAGGCTCCTGCAAGAAAAGCTGTCATGCTTCCACTCAAACCTCGAAATGCTGCAGCTAAGAACAATCCATCAATGTTCCACTGAGTGTATAAGATAAGAATGTAAATCAAAGAATGCACACATGCACCCAATGCTGGAAGCCAGAGAAGAATTTTGTGTCTGCCGGTTTTATCACTGACAGCACCAAGAATGACCACAGTGACAATTGCTGGTAAACCTTCGGCTATCTGCAATCCCAGCACCACCAGAACACTTTCATGATGTGCTTTATCCCATGCTGGATCTGACAAACTCGTATTCTTCTTTAATATTCCAAACCCTGGAAATGGAACACCATGTTGAGCATAAATCTGTGATTCCACAAACTCTTGAAACAGAGGTAAGGACATATGCCGCGAGAGAAAGAAGAAAAATAAAGCAATTTCCACAAAATAAATCTGTATAACATCGATCAATTTATAAATCTTTAGACATAATGCTGGCTGTGATTGTGCTGTGCTTGGAGTCATTGTTTGCAGAAAATCTATGTCCAAGGCTAGAGCATTCACTGTAAGCAAATTACTGAAAGGCAAATACAGTGACTGTAAACATTAATTTCTGTTTGTGAAAGCTGTTTTACAAAATGCTACAGTATACTACATTCAACACCCACACTGTCTATAATATGTAACTTCTTGTGGTTTCAATGCTATAAACATGTAGTATTGGAGTACACTGTCACTGTGTACTGATTACACAAACACAATCAATATCCTTTGATTTTTATCCAAACCTGCCCGGAATGATCAGTTCCAGCAGTTGTATTTTATGTATCCAGTGCAGTACTACTATTAATTATTAATAAAACAAAACTGCAAGTAGTGCTACAAGCTACATCTTTGGCATGCAGTAACTGTGATTGTTCTCAATTTGATTTCACAACAGTTTCATCGAAATTCTGAATTTTTATATTCAACCTAACTGATTTCACCATCGCACGAACTTGAAAGTGTGCTTTAAATTTCGATGAATACAAAATAATTACGGCAAAAAAAAAGCAACAAATGTTGCTGCACACAGGAGCGCAATGTTTACAGAAGAGGAGAACAAGTTGTTTGGTTATTGTTCAGTATTCAGTTATTCTGCTACAGTTTAATGACTGAGGGAAATCACCAGTACCACTTCCGGCCTGGCCAGGTTCCCTCTCCACTTCTGTCTCTGTGAGGTTTCTGTATTTGTGTTGCGGAGATTTCAGTCTGTTCTTCACGAAGCTTTTTACATCCCAGTGTCCTATAGTCCTATGCGTTTGTACATTAACTAATTCTGGCTGCCGTTTTACATTTTAGCTCCTAACGACCGTGAAAGGCTCTGCATCAGGTACTAACAAATTTAAACATTAAATGTAAAGTTGTTTTTTTTAAATATTTAAAAACATTTAAATTTCAATAAAACATATTGAAACTTTCAAACACAACTAAACTATTTGCAGTTAGGATATTATAGCATAACGTTTCACTATTCCATTGAAAAAAGTTGTTTAATGGTAATATATTTTATTTGTTTAGTTTAAAAAAAATGTATAGTTCTTACATTTAGCAACAAGGGTAACTAAAGTCTGATTGCGCAGTTACTGGTCTCTAGTTTAAGCTAAAGCAACGTTTTCCCCATGTTTCCTTTAGTAGGAATGCTAGTGATATATATATATATATATATATATATATATATATATATATATATATATATATATATATATATATATGCTTTGCTTTTGGAAAGGCAAATATATTGAATAAGTGGCTCTGGACCAAAACAGGTGATGGTCATTGAGAGGAGGCGAGTTAGTTGGTGAGACAGCAAACTATAAAATACTTCAAAACTCTACGACATGGCCATCGGCGGGTACGTGGCGCCATAACCTTTCCCCCAGCTGTATTATCCCTATAAAATCATGCCTCGAAACAACGAATTCATATAACGACATGAATGGGGATTCCAGTGGAATTACCTCGTCATGTAGGGAGTATCATGTTCTACTGATTTTTACTTATGTTTCATAGACTTTACAAAAGCATTTGACTGTGAAAAATGAAGAAGAAATCAAACTGTTAGAAAATTTATGGAAAAGAGCTATGAATAATAAAGAATATGTATTGGCAGCAAACAGTAGCTATAAGAATTAACAACTGTTTAGGTACATTTCAGTGCATGAAGAGAGGTGCACGACAAGGTTTGCACTGTCACATGATTTGTTTTCAATATACAGTGAATATATAATGAGATCTTTTACTGATATGCCCCGAATTGTGGTTGGTGAGCATAATATAAACAGTTTACGTTATGCTGAGTTTGGGCGCATTGATAACATCAGATGGAAGATGCATTACTGAGATAAGAAACAGAGCAGGACAGGCAAAAACTGTATTTCATGAAATTAAGAACATCTTATGCAATCTCTGTCATTGGAGGTTAGAAAAATAATTCTTGCTTGCTACATACACCCAGTTTTAACATATATCTGTGAGTCCTGGACAATCAGTAGGCAGGTCAAACAATTTATTGAGGCCTCAGAGATGTGGTTTTACAGAAAAATGCTTAAAATACCTTGGACAGCCAAAAAGAGCAACCAAGAGGTTTTATAAGAAAAGGGAGCCCGAAGACAACTTATCACAGACATCAGAAGGAGACAGTCCTCATTTTTTGGCCATGTTATGAGAAGAGGGAAAATGGAACATGTTGTGGCTAAAACGATCTGTGGAAGGAGGGTTTGGAGGAAGACAACGAGAGAAGATGCTTGACAGTCTTGTTGCATAGCTTGGAGGTGTGTCAGCACATGAACTGATGCATGCTGCAGGAGATCGCGGACTATAGAGAGGCATGATTGCCCACTCCAATTGGCAAGGCACCTGATGATATATATATAAATATAAATATATATATATATATATATATATATATATATATTATTTATTGGGTTTTTGCTTATGAAACCATCACAGCTGATAGAGATTAAAATATCAAATCCAGTGATATCCCAAAGAAGCCTGTATGCCTATTCTAAATGAAGATATTAACGTTTTAGTAGCAGAAACCACCATATACACATTATTGTGTGATCTGGCAAAAGATGGCCACCGGACATATCCATAAGTTCTCAGATTCCCCTTCAACATATTCATTAGTGTCACGCAATTAATAGAGCCAGTCCTATGCTGGTTGACAATAAGACTGTGCATCGGTTGGGCCGTCTCAATTTCCAATTCTCATATTCTTTGCAGTGATGTGAACATGTTACTTCCAAAATCCACAGAATGTCCCATCTCTTCAAGGGCATTGACAGTGTCAGTGTGCAACTAATGCGGAACCTGCCAGTCTGTTAGCTCTTTCATTGCCAATAACACCTGCATACCCTAAGACAAATATGAAGGTAACTGCACACATAGGATAGTTTTGCAAAGACTCGATCAGCTGTCTGCCTATGGAGCCTGCCTCGACCAGCCAGATCATGCTCAGAATCACTGAGCACCTGTGCATGGGAATAGTCCTGTGAGCCACATGAAAGCTGGTGTCACTGCCATCACACTCATCGGGATACTGCTGGTAGTCATGGAGAAGGCAGCACTGGCTTCTTGGACTGTTCTGCCTGCAGAACACAAAATGCTGAAGTCAGCTGATATGACCTCATAAGCATATTAAAAAATATAGCTGCCAGCTCACTAGTTTTAACTTTTTGAGTCCCAAGGAACGCATCATACATTCATAGATTCCTACCTAGAAGCCCAGTGAACGCAAGATGCGCCGATTTTACATCTTTCTTGACTACCTCTTGGGCCTGTGATGCTAAACCCCCTGGGACTCAAAGAGTTAAGTAGACACAATATAAATGTATGGTTTTCTGCCAAAAATCCTGGCAAGATATATACCATATATGTAAAATGATGAGACGGACATAAAGATCACACAAATTGTGCCGGTGATTTGACCAGTTATCTGATAGAAATGACCGCCAACTCACTACTTTTAAATAAGCACTTTGTGTGCTAATATTTAATTAAAACAGATTTAAACAGTTTGTTGATTTTAAAATTATAATTCATATTACTAATACATTGGTCGAGTCCATCATGAATCCAGGCTCAGTAACATACCAAAGACGAGAAAAAGTGATCTTCAAAATGTTTCAAATCAGATCAAGTTATGAAATATAATTATTTAGTTTTTTCATTCTTCATAGAAGTGAAATTTTTACTTTTTCCAAGTGAATTACTAAGTGTTACACCCAGTGCTACCTCCATTACCTTCCTGGAGGTACTTTTTCCTGTTTTAGCCAATGTTTGGTGCTGTGTCATATAGAGCTTCTTCCTTTGTTCTGGAGATGCATCATATGTGATATTCTCATTTTCTAATGTACCTTTATTAAGGTTTCGTAGAATTTCAGTAAGGTAACTGTTGTGGGCTTCCTTTCTATTCCCTTTCACTATTCAAAGGACATTAGAGATGTTTTGTAACTTTCCACCACACAGTCACTATATCTCCCCTAGTTCATTTCGTTTTTCAGCACCATCCCTAGAAATCATTTGTTTTCCTCTCTGTATTTCTTTCCCTTTATTTCAGTTTTAGTTTTCTATGGACACCTAATGTTTAGACCCACTTTTCAGTTGCTTTTTAATAACTTCCTGCATTTACTTTTGCGACCTCGGTTTATTCAGACTGAGGCCATACAGAATGGTAAGCATGTGGATATGTACTGTGGATAGCTTTGGAGGTCATCTTTAGAGGCAATTTACACTGTTGGTAATAAGACTGATCTTTATAGGACTGTCATTTCTTTCCTTGAAATGCTCATTGTTCATTGGGGAAATCTTTTTTGTCCCCACCTGTCTGTGCAGTCTATATTGTTTCTACAGCTTTCCACTCTTCTCTGAAGATTCTTTATGTTCTTGACCTGTTGAAGAGGTTAATATTCTGGCCTAATCATTTAATCTCTTCATATATACTTTTTAATATATATCAGAATATACTTTTTCATGTTACTGAATGTAGATTTATTATTTTGAGTTCAGATTTTCTTTTCTGACTGTAGTGTAATGTGTTTCTTTTAGGAGATGCTGGTCACTATGATTCTGTTGTTTTGTCTGTTTCGGCCTTTCATTAAAACATTCTGTTGTGTTCGTGCACGTTTTCTTTTCCCTTCACTGAGCTTTCTTTTCCCTTCACTGAGCTTTCTTTTCCCTTCACTGAGCTTTCTTTTCCCTTCACTGAGCTTTCTTTTCCCTTCACTGAGCTTTCTTTTCCCTTCACTGAGCTTTCTTTTCCCTTCACTGAGCTTTCTTTTCCCTTCACTGAGCTTTCTTGTCACAGTTTATGTTGTGTTTGTTGTTACTGTAGCATTATTTTGTTTCAGGATAGTTCCATCTCGGGTTTTGGATTATTGTCTGTATAACTAGTTCTGAGTAGTGATTAGTCTCATGCAGTAATCAAAGTTCTGCTCTTTTCTGGTGTTTATTTACATTTTAACTTTTTGTTTTAACCT